CTCCTTAATCCCTAGAAACTACAAGCCTCTTAAGTATTAAAAAAAATGTGGGGGAGCATGTAGTGGAGACCCAAAGCCCATCTGTAGACAATTGGACATCCCCTTACAGAAGGGTCACAAGGAAAAGACGAGCGAGTCAGGGTGCAGTATAGCACCCATGAAACATACAACTTTCCTCACCCCCTACCCCACTATCATGACCTCAGTTCTACCTTACAAATCTGGCTAGACCAGAGCATGTACACTGCTACAGATAAGGACCAACAATGAGAACAGAGATACCAAGAGGGTAAGGGAAGGTAGGGGGGAGAAAAAGAAAAAAATATGAATTTATTTATCTTTCTGATTATTACAGTGCACAATTGATCGCAACATGCATATATCAGCAGTTTAATGCTAAAGTATTAAGCATTCATTTTATTTCTTTTTTATTTATAGATGTAATGACTGAGAAAGTTTTGTAATAGCTGAATTATTTAATTCTTTGCATCTCTTCTGAATTATATGCCAGAAGTTTAGGGTAAATTATCAACAAAATATAGTTACTGTCCTGGTTGCGTCAGCATGTTCTTTTGTATGTGTATGTACCACATTTTGTTCACCCATTCATCTGCTGGTGGACATTTGGGTTATCCACCTTTTAGCTAAAGCAGTGTTAAGAAGAACAGAGTTTGAGGAATCGCTTTTACTTCACTTTTGTTGAAAGCAAGAACTTGAGAGCCACCTAATTTGCAAGAGAATTTGTTTCTTAACCATTAAAGTCATCCAAGGCCTCATTTTCTGGGAAGTATACCAAAAAGACTTTACAAATACTTACCAAAGGACTAATTATACCTGTTTGGGGTTTTTTGTGTTCTTTTGTTACTGGTTTTATTTTTTTTAATTCCTTCAGAAACATCTTATTTACTGTGAATTTATGACTTTCATAAGCATTTTAATAAAAATCCTTTAATAGTACCATACAACCAATGACTTAGCAATATAGATTTATCTCATTCTGTTTTTTGGACATTTTCTACCTTATAACCTAACTGATCAGTATCACACTGGGTGGTTAAATCAGACTTAAAATAGAACAGAAAATGAAATTAACTTATTTTATCAGTGCACATTGAATAATTTTATGTAATTTCCTCAGTGATGAACTATATTAAAAAATATATAAATTATAAATCTAATAGAGTTTTTATGTTATAAAAGTTTCTCTATATGGGTACATTTAGAACCAGTCAAAATACAAGCAAACTCATAACTTAAATGAAGAAGCAAGATTCATCTGTAAAGAGTATTTAGTTTTTAAAAAATGAATAGTGTCTTAAAATGTAATTTTCCTGAAGCTAGCAGACACACTTGCATATACACACGCTGAAAAAAGTTCATAGAAAAATTGAATTAAAATATAATGGAGTTTTTCTATGAACTTTTTGAAACGTGTGTGTGTGTACGCATATATTTTTCGTTTTGTTACTGGAATAGAAACAGTATTAGCATTATAAGATGGAGACAGTCTAATTGGTTTAACTATCTTGTCAAGTCTAACTGCATGGAATCTGTATCACATAAAATATAAATTTCATTCACAGCTCTAACTTGTAAAATATGTAGTGCCGACTCACTCACTGTCTCACTCACTCACTGTTTCATTCATTCACTGACTCATTCACTCAAAAAGAAAAAAAAAAATATGTAGTGCCAGAATATATTGCAGTTGCATTGAAAAGACTCAATGTCACTGATTTGTATTGGTTTAGCTATTTTAAAATGGTATTTCTCCAGCTAATAACACATCCTAGGAATGGTTATTGACAATACTCTGTACTCAGCAGGTTTTCTGAAGAGTAATGATTATGTGTTTTTTTTTAATGATAGGGGCTGGAACAACTAAGGTTATTAAGGAAAATTGCCCTCACTGCCTCTCAGCACCTTATTGTATAGCTGATTTCAGAACATCTCATCTAGGGCCAAAGTGCCCTGTTTTAATTGCCATTTTTTACACTAATAGAAATTCTCATACACAGAAAAGACCAGAAGGGCTAGAGTGGATTTATGTTGTGTTTGGTTAATCAATAAAGTAGGTTTTCCCCAGATAGTATTTTGAATTTTTTCTTCTTTGACATCCCAGAGGGTTGTCCTTTTTGCTTTTGTTTGGTTCTTCATCGTGTCTCCCGTCAAAGTAAGAGTAAGGGTCTGCTAGGAAAGAGCGGCAGAAGAGCTTCCAAGGGCATAAGACAAAGCATGCAAGAAGTGGAGAACTTGGACTCGAGTCTCCGAAAACCAGCAATATGAGCGTCTCTCTTTTTAAAAAGTCACATACCCCCTACACGCGCTAACCCCATCGGTGACTACTAACAGCAACTAAGAGTATGTATCAAAACCCAGACCAGCTGTTGGGGAACGGACTCCAAACTATAAGAAACCCTGCTTATTTCAGAGTAGAACTGTGCTCCTCAATAGGTCTTTGTTGCTTCTCAATTGTGGTGGAAGTACGCACAGCAAAACATTCGCCAATGCAGCGCTTTTGGGGGGTTTGTTTGGTTGGTTTGTTTATTTTTTAACGTATTATAAGCCAAACTCATCGCTGTATTTTCCAACTCAGCAGCTTAGAACTGAGTCTTTCCAGATACAGACTGCCTCCACTTGCTCCTGAACATCTGCACACAAAGGGGCTTTTTAAACGTTTGTTGGGAGTTTGCATCATTTCATTCCATTTCCCCACCAACTTTGTGAAGCCCCCTCAGATAATTCAGGGATATTAAGGACATTCTTCAGATGCAATCATCATTTCTATCCAACCCCAAATTACCCACCACAATGAACCTAAACTCAACGCCCATTGAGCACAAGCTCCCTGGAGTTTACAAAGGCTTGGTTGTTAAGTGTTAAAATCACCAGACGTTTCTTCTGAGACACCTGTGAGTGGACTCAGACCACCAACCTTTCTGTTAGCAGCTGAGCACATTAGCCTTTGACACCAGCTGGTGGCTCCCTCTCGTTGCCATCAGGGTGATTCTGACTCATGGCGACACTATAGAAACATAGTGGAACCACCTGAAAGGGCTTCAAAGACTGAAAATCCTTCTAGAAGCAAACTGTAAAATCTTTATCTGGAGAGCCTGGTGGCTTCAAAACACCAACCTATCAGCAGGTCAGCAGCCATGGGCTTTCACCACTGTGCCACCAAGGTGCCTTTCTAAGAATATCCAAATGCCAACCAAACTCACTGCCATCAAGTCAGTCCTGATTCACAGAGCCCCTGTAGGAGAAGGTAGAACTGCCCCGTGTGGGTTTCGGAGACTGTAACGGGTAGAAAGTATATAGCAAATGCTAAATAATTCCCGCCTGGAGTTCCTAAGTGGTGCAGATGACAGCATGCTCAGATGTTAACCTAATGGTTCAAGGTTTGAGTCTACCCAAAGGCTGCCCCCAGGAAAAAAGTGCCTGGCGCTCCACTTGTAAATGGGTGATCATCAAAAACCCTGTGGTGCACTGGGATGTGCTCTGATACACGTGGGCTCAGCGTGAGTCACACTGACTCAATGGCAATTGGATTGGGAGTCCAGGAGGGGCACAAATAGTTAGATACTTGGTTACTAACTGAAAGGTTGGTAGTTTGAACTCACCTGGAAGTTCTTTGGAAAGTAAGGTTTGGCAGATCTATTTCTGAAAAGGTCACTGGAGGATACTTCTACCCTGACACATGTGTGTTCACCGCAAGTTAGAATCTAATTGCCAGCTAGCTACTGATTAATGGTTATATTGAAAAGGAGAAAAAATAATGATGCTGTGTCACCATGATTACTATGTCACTACTCTAAGGATTTAAACAGCAGGTACTCTAAGGAGCTCATTTCCTACTCCTGGGCAGGAGGTTTAGTAAGATTATTTCATTAAGTGTTGAACAAAAAGATGCTCACACGTCACCTTTTTAATTTGGCCCAATTTCAGGCTGTTTGGAGGGCTGTTGTACAAATTTAGATCCGACTGTCTACAGTTACTTGCTGTTACGTTTTCTCATGACGGCCATCAACCTGGCGTAGATGCTTGCCTCCACAGCCATGGGAGGAAAGCCAGAGAGAACAGCCTAAAGCTCTGAGCCTTTCCAATTGTTTTTCAAGAACGAAAGGCCTCTGCCTTAACTCCTTAAACATTTATTGGGAAGTATCGCCTTGTTTGTATATGAATACAAGAGGAGATAAGAAACAATTTTTATCAGTTTGATACCTTTTGACTTGTATTGGAAATCTTTCCAACTACCATTAGCTATTAAGAGAACACATTAACAATCTCAGCTGATTTTATGAGATGATTCAGATTTAAAGTACAACCTTGAGGACTATGATATGATGGGTTGGTAGGAGAATGATTTGCGTACATAAAAAAACTCACTACCATCAAGTCAATTCTGACTCATAGCAACTCTAGGGCAGGGTAGAACTGCCCCTGTGAGTTTCCAAGATAGTTAGACTCTTTACAGGAGTAGAAAGCCCCAGCTTTCTCCTGAGGATCAGCTGATGGTTTCGAACTGTTGATCCATGGTTAGCATCCCACCTAATAACCACTATGCCACCAGGGCTCCTTTTGAGAATTCAGATTTTGTTTTTACCTTTGCTTTATCATCCGTAGGAATTTGTCAACTATATTACCTTCTCTGTGTCTTGATGATTAGTAAAATGAAATCAAAATCCAACTCAAAGCTTTTAAAGAGATATTATGAGGCTTGGAAAAATTAAGGTGACATACCTCAGAGATGTTGCAGGTTTGGTTCCAGCCCACTACAATAAAGCAAGACCCACATTTTTTGCTTGTTTGTATCCCAGTGTGATGTGTGCTCTATGCTATAGTCTATTAAGTAGACAATAGCATTATGAACAAAAGATTGAAGTAGTGAAAATTTCCAAAATATGACACAGTCATATATTCTCCAAAGATACTCTCTTATTTAGTAAAATATAATGACATGGTGATGAAATTGCTTCTTTAAAAGTATGCGTTTCTTATAGTAAAAGATGACTGTGACTCAGACGCAGAAAATGAACAAAACCATGACCCTAATGTTGAAGAGTTCCTGCAACAACAAGACACTGCTGTCATTTACCCTGAGGCACCTGAAGAGGACCAGAGGCAGGGCACACCAGAAGCCAGTGGTCATGATGAAAATGGTAAATGGGGCTTGCCAGTCGTCTCCCCTTTTCATCTCTAAAGGATTACTCTCTCCATTGCTCTACATGGGGACCCACTCCACTCGATGGGACATGTTTTGCAAACCAGAATTTATTGCTGTTGCCTGTAGAGAGTAATGTCTTTCATTAATGGGACATTGTCTGCGATAACAGTACAGTATTAAATTAGAGGCTGCTCACATATGCAATGGTAATGTGCTGTCAGGGCCAGGATGAGAACGGTGCCCGAGCATCAATCTCCATTCACTCACATGGCAACAGACAGTAGAAATGGGAACTGGGGTGACCCTTATTGTCCTCTGATTCTTCTCCCCCATTATTTTTGCAAGCAAAGCATCATTGTCTGGTTTCAAAGTACTGATTTTGAGACAAAGGGCTTTTGTGTCTGCTTAATCCATTCTGATATAAACAGTGTATAAATAGTGGGAAATTGCTGTAATAATGGGTTCTGTCTCTCCTGAAAAGGAATAGGCTGTCATTCTGCCCTTACTACCACTATCAAGAGATGAAAATAACATGCAGACGTCCCCATAAGAAATGTTGCAAGGTCTGCACCAAGAAGTGTGGAGTCATTTGAAAATTTTAAGAGTGCTAAAAGTAGTAAGATCCTGAGCCTAGTTTGATTCTTGCCAGAGTTGCCCTTTTAATGGGTACGTGTTGCTTAGGACTCAGCTAATCAACTTTTTTAATTTTTGAAGGAAGTTACAATGAATGAATTGCATCTTCCTTAAACTTAACAATCAACTATGAAAAAGAAGAGGAAAAATGTTCAATATTCCTAAAAAGCCTGTGTGTGGTCACTTTGAACTGTCTATAATTAATGTACTCATGACCATAATTATGCTGGTAGGCATATAAAGTTACTTTTATAAATCAAAACCCAATGTTTTCTAAAAATCACATTGAACTGACCTATCTATTTTCATTCTGTAACTTGCTTATTATCCTAAATACTCAGAGTGACTTTTGTTGCTTCATGATAATGGCCTTAACATGTGAATCCATTATCTCATGTGTTTGAGAAAATTCAATAGATACTGATTTATGAAAATAATAACTTGCTGTCAAAATACCACGAGTACCCTGTCATTCTACAAAATTCGCAGCATTTCACATCTTCAGTGTGAGAGTTAGTCAAGAAGGCTGCTGAAGAAAGAGAAGCGTAGTGGCATCAGAGGGCTCTGTGAGTAACACTGAGGACTGTAAGCGGCGTGAGTACTGCACTGTGGTGCCACAATGGGAGCCCACAGTGGTTGACTCTGACTTCTGCCATTAGACAAGCTAAAATCAATGAAATGGATGAGGAAATATTTCAAGGAGGACACTCCAGGTGTTGATTTCCCACTTTGATACAGAACAGAGCATAATATAATTTCTAAAATAAATTTCCTCAGATAGCTAACTTAATTCACCCAAAGAAGAGGGTCAGGTGAGGAGTTAGCCCCAACAACAAAAAATTCTGTCTTTGGTGTAAGTTGGCTTGTTAACTGGTCACTAAGATTTGATCACAAACTTTAATAGAGATTTAGGTTTTATTTTATTCATATACTTGCTACATATGTTAAGGTGTTTAGCTATTATTTAGAGCTCTGGTGTTCAATCAATTTGCAGACAGGTTCTTGAGCAAGACATTGAATTTGTGTGGGCTGAAAATTTGAGAAAGGTGATAGATGTATATATATTGAGCATTTGGAGACTATCCTGAGACTTTATTTAGTTGTCTGTTTTTCTATAAGGAATTCAAAATGAAGGTGTGAATGATATTATGTACAATGTCTCAAGTTGTTCTTTCTTTGAAAAAAATAAGTAATATGAATACTCCTAACAGATTGACAAAGTATTGCATTTTAAGGATGTCAGGTTTAGGTAGGGTTATGGTTTAAAATACATTTCATTCAGTGAATTCAGATTGATCCAGAATACCTTTATTCCCTAAAAGCTAGCCTATAGTCTATATAGAATTATATACAAAATGTGTCCATATGTTTCAATAGAAAAATAATACATGGGAAGTCTGTATAGGCCAGCCCTAAACCTGGCACCCAGTACACATTCTATGCATAGGAGTGTCTGAGAAACACAGTTAAGTTTACTACTCAGTCCTGGATGACAATAGCTTTAAAGTATTATTTTCAAATAAAAATGAACATTAAATAAATGATGATGGCATTGGTAGCAATGGAAAGATTCTGTTGTAGTGTACAAATCCCCCTTAATATACACACATTTATAGAAGTAAGCTACATTCTAATTTTAGTTTCGTTTTCTTGATCTAGCTAACCATCCAAAGGAAGAAAAAACCTATGGCTTAGCCAAAAAGACTTGGACTTCACCATTGACTGGCTGTGTAACTTATTTAACAACCATCCTGAGCTTCCTTGATTTTTACTTTACACTAGAGATGAACAACATGGCTGTTTTGAGGGTCACATGTAGCATGAAAAACCAAACCAAACCGACTCACTGCCATCAAGTGGATACCAACTCATAGCGACCCCGCTGTGGGGTTCCAGGACTGTAACTGTTTGCGGCAGTAGAAAGCCCTGTCTTTCTCTGGAGGAGCGCCTGGTGGTTTCAAACGGCCGGCCTTACAGACCACAGCCTAACGCATATCCATATCCACTTCGCTGCCAGGACTCCTCAATACATACTACATAGTACAGTATCATAGCCGCCCTAGTAAAACAGTCGTTAGTGCTCATCTACTAACCCAAAGATCACTAGCCCTTCCATGGGAGAAAAATGAGAAATGAGGTAGTCAGCTTCCATAAAGATTACAGCCTTGGAAACTCCACGGGGCAGCTCTACTCTGTCCTGTAGTGTTGCTATCAGTCAGAATCAGCAGCTTCACAGTAACACATTTCAGGGAGTCAGTGATCGCCTTATCACTGAGGTAATGCTTTCTGAATGCCTGGGTTTAGAAGATGTGCTCTTTCTTTTACAGGAACACCAGATGCATTTTCCCAGTTACTCACCTGCCCGTATTGTGACAGAGGCTATAAACGCTTTACCTCTTTGAAAGAACACATTAAGTATCGCCATGAAAAGAATGAAGATAATTTTAGTTGCTCCCTGTGCAGTTACACCTTTGCGTATAGAACTCAACTTGAACGTCATATGACATCACATAAGTCAGGAAGAGATCAAGTAAGTAAAATGGCTAAGAGTTCACTAATTCCAAAGCCTTTAAATATACTGAAAAGGGTGTATTACACAATATATCCTGTCTAGTCTATTGGATCATTTCTGAGTTATGAGAAGTAATTTTTTTTCTTTATCAGGTAAGATCCTACCCATCCCAATTTATTTTTTTTCTTACACCATAATCTTTATTATTCTAATCTAATTGTTATTCTCTTATTCTCCTATTAAGCTAATATATTTTTTAAGTTTAGAAGATTTCAAAATCTATTCTATTAAAAACATTTAGTTTGCTTTGTAGGAAAAATCAATATTGTTTTCATAAGCCACATGACTAAGTGCTCACTAAACTGACAGGGAAACCAAATATATAACAAAGTTTAATTTTCTGTGAACCATTGGTTATTTATTCCTATTCTGCTAAGGATTTTATCTATAATAAGCAGAGTTGCCTCATCTAAGAATTTAAAGTTTAGATTCTAGGCTATTATGAAAACTTAATTTTCACATAGTTTAATCTACTTATGTATCACTTTGTCTTGATTTGTAGAAGTATGAGTCAAGACTATTTCCTAATTGTTTAAACTGCAGGTTTTATACTAAAGTCAAAGAAGTTTTAGTCAATTGCTGTTCTTTTACAAGGTCCAGATAGCTATAAATAAATTTAATCATAATTAGAAAGTAGGGCTGGATCACCAGATTTTAGAATTTGACTAACAAATGTTGGAGAAAAAAAGCTAAATATTAATAAAACTCCAGTATCTTAAAAAAAATCAAATACTTCACGATACAAGATTTCTATGTTAGAGTTTATGTTAGGGTGAGCCACCTGTCCAATTTTGTATGTCATTCAAGGAAACTGAAATTCTGCCTTGATTATCCGTCACATATCCCACAGAGATTGAGTGTTACCCTTAAGTATGAGAGTGACTGAACCAAATAAACAACAAAAAGAAGTAGCAGATGGCAGAAGAATTCATCTAGAATTTAGGTAATGACAATAATTACAAAATAACAAGATAAAATGGATGAAAGGGTGGCAGTCTGTCAGGATGGGACCAAGATTCCCTAAGATACTCTAACAGTTAAGGAGCATCTGAGGGAGAGGGTACCACAGAAAGGAAGGCAGGACAGAAGAGGGCTTGCTCCACATCGGTGTCATCAGGTGACTACAGAATAAACGTAGAAAAAAGAGACATTCATGTGTCATGCGGACAGCAGAATCATCCTCCACTTGCTGCCACCATCTCTTCTTCCTACCAAGAGCCTTTGTCACAGGAAAGGAACTCTGAAAGCAGGTAGTACTGGTGGTGGTGAAAGCAGGGGCTGCCATTAGAAAAACACAGGAAGATCACTGATGAAGATGGAATCGATTTTTGTGTTGATTTTCCTGATGAGTGTAAAGGTAGTAGATTTGATACATAAAGTGTGTGGTCAAGGTATTGAGCTATTAACAAGGTCAGGACGGAGCTGTGATAAATGTGAGTACCAATAATGTGAGGAAAGATAATTGGGAAGTCTTAGGAACAATTTAGGTTGCTAGGCAACAAACAAAAAGATAGAATGTCTATCTTGCTGGTCTTTGAAATCATGCCCATGACTGAAAATTAAGCAGCATGTCTATGTCTTACTAATTCATTCATTCTACAAATATATGAGTTTCTATTATGTATCAAGGCACAGTGGTAAAAAGAGTCTTTGCCCATAAGATACATATATTATTAAGTAATATAAAATAGATATGGAATGGAGAAAAAAATAGGTGATATTCAGAAAAATAAAGCAGGGTAAGAGACAAGGAAGCAAAAGAACGATGGTTCTCAAGCTTCCTAATGCCGCGACCCTTTCCTACAGTTCCTCATGTGATGGTGAATCCCCAACCATAACAGTATTTTTGTTGCTACTTCATAACTATAATTTTGCTACTGTTAAGAATCCGGCAATCCCTGTCAAAGGGTCATTCGACCCCAAAGGGGTCGCAATACCCACAGATTGAGAACCACTGTAATAGAAGCTGCTGTTTTTACAGGGTAGGGGAAACTTTCTGAGAATGCGGCATCTGATCTGGGGCCTGAATGAAATGAAGGAGCCAGTCATGGAAGGAAGTCATTGAGGAAGAGCAGTCTTGTCAAAGGGAACCATGAAACGACCTTGTGGCAGACTCAAGAAACAGCAGAGAAGGCCCAGTGTTCCCTGGAGCAGAGTGAATAGAGGGAGAGGTTGAAGAGAGGCCAGAAATGTATGGAGGCCAGTTGATGGAGTGCTTGTATAGTCAGAATGTTTGATTTACATCTAATGTGTCAAAGGGAAGACGTTGGAAGAATTTGAGAGAGACAGTCACATAATCTGCCTTTTATTTTTAAAGGAACACTGGATGTTGGGGTGGGAGGGGGGATGAATCAAGAGAAACAAAAATGGAGGCAAGGAAGTCATTTAGAGGGAATTGTTATCATCCCAGACAGTGTTGGTGTCTTTAAACTCGGGTACCTTAGGTGGCTGTGCCATTGGATTCAAAATATATCCAGATGAATTGCTGAAAGATTAGATGAGGACATAAGAGAAAGGGAGGAATCAAGGATTTCTCAAGTTTAGGGCTCGAGGAACAATAAAATAAACTCGAGTGCTATTCATGAAGCTAGAGGAAAAGGGGGCACGTAATCAATCCATGTTGCTTCAGAAACTATTGGACTTCCGAGTGGTGATAACAATGAGCTCTCAGTTCTAGAAGTAAAGGGGTGGATCTAGAGACACAAATATGGGAGTTATTCCTAAATGCACTACATATAAATAGAGTATTTAAAACCGTCAGTTTGGAGGACATGGGAGCCTGGCATATCGGAGGTACTCATTCCTTTTCTACCAAGACGGGAGCTTTCAGTTGGGGTGAGGATGGCGCAAGTAGGACCTGGCTGAAGTCCTTGACAGAGGAGTAGACTTGCAACAGAAGTCAGGGCTGCATCTCCAAGACAGAGTCTGAGCAAAGCACGGAGAGGAAGAGGGGCAGTGTGCACACTGACTCCCTGGATGACCGAACCAGGGGCTTCTTAGAACTGGTGAGCAATAAATACACCGAGAAATTTAGGGGCTAAGAAATTATAATCTATATGAGTAAATTTTTCATGCTAGGTTTAATGGGAAAACCTTAAGAGATTTTGAACAGGAGTTGATTTTTTAAGTCAACTTTAATCGATTTAATTCTTTAAAGTAGTGCTTTGAAGTATAAATAAAAAAATAATGAGCAAAATGCATTCAAACTACTTAACCATGTGAATCTGTTCAGATGGAAACCCTTGAACTGGAAAAGACAAACTTTTTTGTTTCATTTTATAGTTTGCCAGACTAAAGAACGCTTTGACAATGTCAAGCATTTAAGAGACTGGGAAAAACCTAGCCCGCGGGTCAGGAGACCATGTTTTCCTACTGAAAGACTATGTTTCAGAAAGATTACTAAATTATCTTCACCTTGTTTTCTTTACATTAATTAGAAATACAGACTCAATAGTTTCTATACTGGCCCTCAATTCATGACTTTACTTTCTAAACACTATGTTGGTTAATGAAGTCTGACTCTCATGCATTAAATTGGAAAGTGGAGCTTTTTCTCTGAGTCAGGATTCCTGTTTTACTACCACCATCCACTTTTAGTAATAATTCCAAGTATTAGATTTCCGTGACTGCTACAGCTAAGGCCTTTAAGGAAAAAGTAAGAAAAAAATCAAATTTATTCAAAAACATAACTTTTATCAGGGAGTACTTTATATCTAAAGCTCTTTCATTTTATAAACAAAATACCCAATTCTTTCTTACAGAGACATGTGACGCAGTCTGGGGGTAACCGTAAATTCAAGTGCACTGAATGTGGAAAAGCTTTCAAATATAAACACCACCTAAAAGAGCACTTAAGAATCCACAGTGGTAAATATTTGTTTCTTTCTACACCGTGCCTATCATAGCATACTTGTTAACTAATCTATCATAACATGACCCATGCGCATAATCAAAACTTCTATGCTTTGCTTTCAGGATAAAGACTACTATGTAGAAATTTCCTTTCCTGTGTCAGTGATATATAATTAGAATCTTAACCTATGGAAACAATACAGAAAATTAATATATATATACTCCGAATTTGGTAATCAGAGGATAATGTGGCATGCTTTAGCAAGAAGTACAATATAGAAATATTTTTGCTTTCTGATGAACATTAATTTCATTATCTCTTTCACAGAATTCCTGGAAAAGTGTAAGAGGTGAAGTTCATTCTTTCTATTAGAGACATAGAAATAGGGGCGTGGGCTCAGGAAGAAGAAACTGGTGGAAGGGTGAAGTGCAACAGTGGGAGGAGCACCAGCAGGAATGAGAATGTAAAGGAGGAGCATATTCTCCATCATCTTTACTTTCCCCCACGTGCTGGTGCTTCACAACCATTCACTGCAAAAGGATATTGTTTTATAAAAATGAGTATTTTGTGTATTTCAGTGAGCCCTGGTGGCATAACGGGTTACTCGTTGGACTGCTAACCACAAGGCCAGCAGTTTGAAACCACCAGCTGCTCCCTGGGAGAAAGCTTTCTGCTCTCATACAGACAGTCTCAGAAACCCACAGGGGCAGTTCTGTTCTGTCCTGTGGGGTTGCCGTGAGTCAGAATCAACTGGATGGCAAGGACTCTAATGTAGACAGTGAACGTTATACTTGCATTTTCTTAGGGGCTCTTCTTGAACGACATATATGGAAGGCCATCTATAGAGAGAAAGACTATACAGAAAATCGTAACATTGTCCATTGTGCTTGAAGCCTGTTTGCCCCTTGATTAATTCTCATGTGTGTTATTTTTGGTTTCATTTATTTTTAAAAAAATAACTTCATTAACGAATGGGAAATGATAGGTGTCTGCACATTGCTTACCTTGGGAAATTATTATAATGATGATGACATTTCATAAATATGTTATTTTGCAAAAAAGCAAGGTTATATCTATATTTTAATTTGAAAATGTTTTGAGACATTTTCTGGTGTTGCTTATTGAGGTTTAAATAATGTTGACAGTAACACTTAGAAATGCTCAAACCAAGATTATTACAAAAACATGTATGACCTTTTACACATTCACTAATGATTCTTGAAATAGAAGTTGTCTTTTACAGCCTGTCCAGAGAATCTGTTTCTTAGCTCCTGAGCTATTGAACAGTTTTTATCAGTAATAATCTATTTTTAATTGCTTGCCATCATTGCAGAGATAGTGTGACATTGTTCACAGACCTGTAGCTAATAAAAGAGGGTAGAAAAATGTTGAAATTGAGGAGATGTGCTATCCAGTTGATTCTGATTCTTAGCAGCGTTATGACAGGACAGAGACGCACTGTCCTGACTACGATCTTTATGGGATTCCGATGGCCAGACCTTTCCTCCCCAGGAGCCCTGGGGGGAGGGGACCTTAGCAGCTGAGTGCTTAAACATTGTGCCACCAGAACTCCTGAAGTTGGAGTAGAGAAAGCAAAATACACAAAGCCTAGACTGAAAGTCACGCCTTGTACAAAATAACTACCCTGTCATCTTACTGCAGTTGGATAGGAGGATTTCTCAGATCTACAGATAACACAGAGTTGGAAAGCTTAATGCACGGATGAGTGCCCAAAGTCAAAGCATTCTCAGATTACAATACTGGTCTAGAAACAACAAATTGAAATTCCATTGCAGTACCCTGTACTGATATTCAGAAACATCTCACTCATGTAGTGAGTAAGGAGCTGCTTGCCTATGAAAACACCCACTGCCATCAAGCCAGTTCACACTCATTGGATCCCTCCTGCCTGTCTGACAGAAAAGTTTAAAGGGTTTGGTTGGTCTCGTAAATTACCTGTTGCTGCTGCTTCTGCTTAAACTGATACAAATTAGGCCCAGACCTTGGAACACAGAACTCCCATCGTACTCTCGATCTTACCCACTCCGTATTTATATATGTTTGCCTTGTTTTTAAAATGGTTTAATATTAATCATGTGTGTTTAATATACTGAGAAATTGTCAATAGAAATATATGAGGCAGCTCCCAAGAGTCTGTGGGAAATGTAGTTGTCTTTTATTTACACTTTCCCATGAACTTTTGGAAGCTCCATCATATACTAAAAGTGAAATGAAGTTAAAGCGTAAGATAATTCTCGTCTGAAATAAATGTCATGAGATGTACGCTGGAAGCAGATCACAAATTAGGCTCTCGGCTTCAGGAATAGAAGACTACAATCAGGAACGAGACCCAGAGTTTCTATAAGTAAAATGAGACAATTACCAGAAAAATCCATAGACAAAAATTGCTCCTGAGAGCATCATAAAGAAGAAAAAAGAGCAAACTAGAATGTCATCCATAGTAATGACCTTAAAACAGCGCAGCAGGGAACTTGAAAGGGCTTTCTTTTAAAATAAAATTCTTCAATAGGAGCCAGAGTTGTGCTAAACTACAATTCAGGAAGAAAAAAATTAAATTTCTCCAGTGTGGCCACTTAACTATATAGTCTAAGTATACAGCTCTTTGCTAGTCTGATAATTTGGTTTATTCTGAAGGAGTAATTCAGAACCATGCTATTTAAATTGTTGTCAAGGACTAGTGCCTGCCAACGGTTGTTACAGGTTCTTGAAAAAATAAATTACGAGTGATCATTTAGAAGCTGTTATATTAAGACATTGCTGTAATGTTTTTATTATGATTTAGAAACTGTTGATCTACGGCATACTGAAAATTAAGCACACACACACAAAACGATCCCTTCACTACAGATAGTTTTCAAAGCACTATGCAGAGTATTTAATTAATGGATACACGGTTTCTCCTCCAGGAATTCCTTTGTAATTTTATTTCTTTTGAAGTTTTTAAAACGTATTAAAGATCAAGGTTCAAAATTACACTATAAATATCATTAGAATTCTGTCCGCATGTAGGCGTTAACCCGGGGTTTATTCTAACACACGTGATCATTTAAGTGTGTGGTCAGAGGCAACTGACTCCTCATCCTGCCCCTCCAACTCAAACCACCACCACACAAAATGGCCTTCGGTATCTCAGCCAGGAAATGTCTTATATCAAATGCAACAGAGCATCCACTTCAGCTGTTACATAAATGTCAGTATTCAGTACAACCTCCTAGCATAAATGAAATTAGTTACAAACACTTAAGGTAGGTAGATAAATGAGCTAGTGTACTTAAGCTATAAACTATACAATTAGAAACTAGGGGATTTTTTTCTTTTTTTAGCTAGCACAGTGACTTTGACTTCAAAATAATTGTTCTGTAGATTTATCTTCTGGCAATGATTAGATATCAGGATAATGACAACAATAACTAGTAGATTACACACTTAACTGTGTGGCAGCCACAAGCTTGTTGTTTGTACGCACTGTGTATTGAGTCCTCACAGTAATTCTCTGAGATGCAGGTGCTATTATTCTCTCCTTCGTGCTGATAGACAGTGGAATGCTCGGGCAGCCTGATTGACTTGCCCAGTATCACACAGCAACGCTGAGGCTTGGGCCAAGGTATCTTGACACGAAGGTGATTGCCTTGCCCACTCTGTTCCTCCGTCTCCCTGTTTGTAAATATAAAATCATCTATACCATTGATTCTCATCTTCCTGGTGTCTCTAGTAGGGGAACAAGTATCTAGCTCATCTGAAAATTGGAACACATCATTAAGGTTGTAGAGATAGTAACACATTCCTTGTTTTACCCCCATTGGAAATGTTCATCCATTATATTTTGAGTGTTGAATCCCATTCCAAGTACCCCAACTTGAAAGCTATTGATAAACTGGAGAATATACAATGGTGGGTTAAGAAGCAGGTAAGGATTCTGAAAAACATTCACTTTGAAGACTGTTTTGTACCAAAAAAAACTGGATGTGTTTAATTTACTCAAGGGAAGACTAACAATACACTTGACAGCTCTTCATATTCTTAAATCTGGAATATAGGAGAAAGACTGTACTTGCTTTGTGTGCATCAGAAAGGAAGGTAAGATGGGAATAACTGCTGTAGGAAGTTGACTTTGCATAGGTACTTATTAGTCTTGCAGTAAATTTTATTTTTAAGAGAATCACTAACATTTATTGAAGTCATACAAAGAAGTTTATCATATCTATATTTGCACATGAAAACACTGACACTCAGAAACATTAAGAACATAGCATGTGGCTTAATCAAGATTTGAACCCAAAACTCAATCCTCAGCAAAACCAGATGAGAGTGTCTTTTATAGAGTTGTCCAAGAAGTAATAACTTGCTTTCACTAAAAGAGTTTTAAACAGAGACTAGCTAATGGACCACTACTCGCTCAAAAGGTTGGCAGGTCGAATTCACCCAGAAGTACCTTCAAAGACAACTGCTGACGTGCGTCTGGAAGGTTATATGCCCTTGAAAGGCCTTACACTCTGCATGCATCATGGGGTCACTATGAGAACCACGGGACAGCAAGTAAGAACAAAGGTGATCTCAAAAATAAGAGAGAAGGATGAGGGCAATGAATGTACAAATGCACTTTACACATATGTACGGACTGTGATAAGAGTTGTATGAGCCCCCAATAAAATGATGAAATAAATAAACGTGTCATTGACAAAGAGGCTCGACTAGAGGACTTTTTGATCCTTTCCAAATTAATTTCAGATTCTTCAAATATTGAGAATACTAGATCATGTATGTGCGAAAATAAACAAAAAACTTGACAACACTGAAGTCACATTACTAGCAGATTATATCAGCTATTACATTGCTTTCATCTTGATTCGTATAAAAGAAAGGACTAAGTAGAAAATTCAGCATTACCACATTTCATAATTCTACAAGTCATCTAAAAATGGCTAACGAATACTTACCATATATACTCGAGTATAAGCCGACCTGAATATCACCCAACGCACCTAATTTTATG